TTCAAAAAAAAAAGCTACTTTTCAAAAATTTGCTTTCGGCTTCCTCGGCATGTAATACTGTAACAAAATCCTTACTCTTTGACAATTTCTTTAAGGGAGAAAACTAATTACAATTTAAGAACTAATTAAGAAATTAAATATGTAAAAAATTAATTTAGAAACAGCTATAGTCGCCTGTTGAACTGACAACTGGGTATGCTTTTTGACCCGTCAATGCCACCTAGATGGCAACTAGAACTAGCTTAGTTAGCAAACCTAAGTCGCCCGTCGACTTACATAAGTCACCTGATCAACGGACAACTTTTATTTGTTAAATATATATTTTTAAAAAGTATAACTTTCCCTTTCCTCCTCCGTCGAAGCCCTCGATCCCATTCCCCTCAATTTCATTTCGGTAGTCCATTTTCGCAAGAATCTCAAGGTGAGTTTTTTTTTTTTTTTTTTTTTTTTTTTTTTTGTTTCGGTAGTCCATTTTCGCAAAAATCTCAAGGGGGGTTTTTTTTTTTTTTTTTTTTTTTTGAAGTATTAGTGATTCAGAGGTGTTGTGTTTCTTAAGACATGTAGTTTTTTCATGTATTATGGTTTGCAGGTGATTGTAAGAGCCCTTTTTTTTAAGATTTTTTAATGTCTTTTTTGGTTTGATTTGTGGTAGGACTTTAAATGATTTGTTTGTTTGGCTAAAATATCACCATTAAATTTTTTTAGAATGGAAGATTTGGCATGTTTAGTTGTTTTAAGAATGTGGAAAAAAAATTTGTGAAAAATATTATTTTCTTGATGTAGAAAAACTTGGCTTGTTTAGTTAATTGAAGCTGAATGTTTTAGGTGTTTTTTAAAGACATGTAGAGTGACACATGTTTGGTTAGTGGAATGATTTGTTGGTGGAATTAGTTTTTTTTTTTTAATGTACACATAATTATTTGTGCTAGAAAAAACCTTGTGGATGAATTTTATGGTTGTAAAACAGTGCTTGAAATTTGCATAAAAAAAGATTGTAGAGCAATCAGTGTAAGATAATGATTAACTTGTTAAAAATTAGATTGTTTTTCTAAAAATAATTTAATAGTATAAATTGTTCACAAATTTTTAAATTTAAGGTAATAGGTTTTTTAGATGAGTGGACGCCCACCATCATTTACAATCCTGTATGATGGCAATTATCTCTAGATGATAAATTTGCCCCAACATATATTGGAGGTAAAACCCGTCCCTTGTAAGTTTCTACAAGGTAAAATTTACACCAGCTTAAGATGCGGGTTCTTAAAGAACTGAAGTGTGATACATCAAGGTTCACATTCAATATTGTGGGTCGTTTTCCAAGTGGTAATGAATTCATCACTTCACTTGTTGAAGATGATGAAGATTGTGAAGTTCTTTTATCCCTCGCTGTTGGAGAAGTTATGCTTCTTTATGTGGAAGATGAGGTGGTTGCACTGGTTACTAATTGTGATGAATAGTTTCATCGCCAATTTGTGATTATATCAATCTTGCTCTTGGTGGTGAGACGCAGGGTGGTGTTTATGGCCAAGAACCCATGCAAGCAACAACCACTCGGTAAGTTCAGCATTAAGCACATTCATAACAAGACGATTTATAATTAAATTTTGTTGGTGCAGTTTTATTGAATATATTTAAGTACGATGCATATATGCAGAAAGAGCATTGTGTAGTTGTTGTACTTGGTCCTTCTATGCGTCCTCAATTTGCTTGTTATTATGGGCAAAAGAAGTATCCAATTTATGATCCTGTTGTTGATGAAGGATACAAGGTAATGAGTATTGGTTCTAGCGAGGACAATTCTAAAGATTTGGATGTTGGGGATTGAACGAACAACTAGATATGCTTTTTGACCCATCAATGCCACTTAGATGCCAATTAGAACTAGCTTAGTTAGCAAACCTAAGTCGTCCGTCGACTTACATAAGTCGCCTGATCGACAAACGACTTTTATGTGTTAAATATATATTTTTTTAAAGTATAACTTTCCCTTTCCTCCTCCGTCGAAGCCCTCGATCCCATTCCCCTCAATTGCATTTCGGTAGTCCATTTTCACAAGAATCTCAAGGTGAGTTTTTTTTTTTTTTTTTGAAGTATTAGTGATTCAGAGGTGTTGTGTTGCTTAAGTCATGTAGTTTTTTCATGTGTTATGGTTTGTAAGTGATTGTAAGAGCCTTTTTTAAAAAGATTTTTTAATGTCTTTTTTGGTTTGATTTGTGGTAGGAGTTTAAATGATTTGTTTGTTTCGCTAAAATATAACCATTAAATTTTTTTAGAATGGATGATTTGGCATGTTTAGGTTTTTTAAGATTGTGGAAAAAAAATTTGTGAAAAATATTTTTTTCTTGATGTAGAAAAACTTGGCTTGTTTAGTTAATTGAAGTTGAATGTTTTAGGTGTTTTTTAAAGACAGTAGACACATGTTTGGTTAGTGGAATGATTTGTTGGTGGAATTAGTTTTTTTTTTTTTTATGTACACATAATTATTTGTGCTAGAAAAAACCTTGTGGATGAATTTTATGGTTGTAAAACAGTGCTTGAAATTTGCATCAAAAAAGATTGTAGAGCAATCAGTGTAAGATAATGATTACTTGTTAAAAATTAGATTGTTTTTCCAAAATTAATTTAATAGTATAAATTGTTCACAAATTTTTAAATTTAAGGTAATAGGTTTTTTAGATGAGTGGACGCCCACCATCATTTATAATCCTGTATGATGGCAATTATCTCTAGATGATAAATTTGCCCCAACATATATTGGAGGTAAAACCCGTCCCTTGTAAGTTTCTGCAAGGTAAAATTTACACCAGCTTAAGATGCGGGTTCTTAAAGAACTGAAGTGTGATACATCAAGGTTCACATTCAATATTGTGGGTCGTTTTCCAAGTGGTAATGAATTCATCACTTCACTTGTTGAAGATGATGAAGATTGTGAAGTTCTTTTATCCCTCGCTGTTGGAGAAGTTATGCTTCTTTATGTGGAAGATGAGGTGGTTGCACTGGTTACTAATTGTGATGAATAGTTTCATCGCCAATTTGTGATTATATCAATCTTGCTCTTGGTGGTGAGACGCAGGGTGGTGTTTATGGCCAAGAACCCATGCAAGCAACAACCACTCGGTAAGTTCAGCATTAAGCACATTCATAACAAGACGATTTATAATTAAATTTTGTTGGTGCAGTTTTATTGAATATATTTAAGTACGATGCATATATGCAGAAAGAGCATTGTGTAGTTGTTGTACTTGGTCCTTCTATGCGTCCTCAATTTGCTTGTTATTATGGGCAAAAGAAGTATCCAATTTATGATCCTGTTGTTGATGAAGGATACAAGGTAATGAGTATTGGTTCTAGCGAGGACAATTCTAAAGATTTGGATGTTGGGGAAGGTGATCCAAATTGTGAAACTGTACACAACCATAATGACATTAATGAAGTTATTTGTGGTTACTGCATTAGAACAGCTAATGCAAATGCAGATATGGTTGCAAACATTCATGGTTACTGCATTAGCTAGATGAGAGTTGAGTGGCACTTGCCTGATAGAGTTATACAACAATTTGGGTATGTCCCTTCAGTTGATATACTTATATTGGATCCTAGCTTCATCCTTCAGATGGTCGAAGGAAGTCTACACAAATTGGATTGTATATTATCATAACTTCATTAACATGTGGGAGGACAGATGGTCCTGTATTATGCAAGGTATACATTTAGGCTCTGACATTGAGCAACTCATTCACTGTTACTTATAGTGGATTCATTTATGGACAATATTGTACATGTCGAAACCACCTGTCGAGCATCCAACAACTTACAACAACGTGCACCCTTAGAGAGTCATATGGTTAGTCATAAAAACCAAAATTTTCAATTCAGTATGATTGTAAAAATTTGCAACCATACATCTGTAACCAACAAACTTAATATGTTCAACATAACTACTTTCTCAATTCATAAACCACATTGCAGCAATATTTTAGTAGGCATGACTTAGGAGTGATCCAACTAGCTATTGACCATATGGAAGAGTTGATTCAAGATATGTGAATACATATGCATATCGAGGATAATCGTTATACAAAAGTTATAGATATAGAGTACACCTACTTTAGTGGCACCGCATCATTTGTGCAACCACTTAGCATGGTTGCGGGCCCATCGTCTTATGAAGACCAATGTCCATCTTAGGATTTCTTCAGCTAGCCGACACTGCAGGACATTCCATCATGGTCCATAGATGACTACGGTCCTACGACCATTCTGGTTATAGATGCGAAGGTAGTTATGCATCATGCAGAGCTACATGAGTTGAGGGATAGACCTCTTAGGGCGTCGTAGCACTACATGCTAGTACAGATGCCATTCTATGTAGGACGAAGAAGAAATGCTAGACTATATTGTATTGGATGGCCTCAGCCTTCATTGTTATATTGTATTTTCTTTTGAGTAAGAAGACAGTGTAGTACTTTTTTCTTTAGTGTATGCATGTATATGCTCTTATCCAATTTCATTTATGCTTGTTCTATAAGGTATGTTATGTTAGTGTTAAATATAATTTATGATAACTATAGTGCTCTACTATAAACTATAAAGGTAATCAATTATTCGACATTTAATATAAATAATATAAATTATATGAAAAAAAAATTACAGACCTTAGTCATGTTTTTTTTTTAATTTATTTAAATTAATGTAAGTTGGTGCCTTACATTAAATTAATTTTCTTCTTTTTTTTATTCTGTCTGAGGTGTTCTAATGGCTAGTATAGTCAGCAGCTGAGTAAGGAGAAAGTAGCCCATTTATACCTATTTTTAAATTAAATTTTTTTTATGTACCTAACGCTTAATTAAATCTTTAATCATAATTAGTTTTAAAAATTGCCCTTTCTTTAATCATAATTTGTGGTTTTTTATTTCAAACAGTGCTAATTCGCTCTATATATAGATGCCTAGTGGATTTAAAAGGAGCCTTGAAATACTCCATACTCCACTTTCCATGGGCAATTTTTAGTGAGTGCGATCGCTCTTCACTCTTCTATCGACTCCGGTTTTTCTTGCCGGCGAACTTCAGTCGACTATCACTCTCAATCGTCGTTGGATCTTCTTTGTGCTGCGATCATCAGCAATGTGGGTAACGTGATTACTTCTTTTGTCCTCATTGTGCTTTATCTCGTCTCATCGATTAAGTCCTTTTCGCTTTTCTTTTACTGTTTCTCTTTTGCCTAGTCATGATTCTTTCTTGGCATGTTTCCCCTATTGCTCTCTTAAATTGCATCCTCATGCATCTATTGCGAAAATGGCTGCGGTATTGGTTGCGTATGGTTTGATTTACTCCATGACGTCTCGTCATTTTTGTGTTTGGCTTGCTTATCTTGTCAATTTGTTGTTGAATGGAGACTGATTTGGTCGTTCTGTTTGCATTTTGGGATATAGGGTACGAAGTAGATGGATGAAGGGTTGCTGGGGTTTGAAAAGTATTGTATTAAGTTTCAAGAAAAGCATTGTATTAATTGGCGTTTGATTGTACTAGTGCCATTTTACCCACTCTTGTCAGTGCAAAGCGTAATTTGACCCAATAATTTGTTGGGATAAGCCAAGATATAAAATAGGAAGTTTGTTTGAATATTAAAAAAACTGTCGTTGATTTTTTTTTAAATATAATCAAAAGATAATGAATTTTTTTAAATTGGTTTCACAGGTCTGATCGCCAAAACATTGACCCATCATTATCGATGCGATTGTGACATCACCTCCCATGGAATGGTATCTTCATATTGACTGTCTATGACTTCGTTGGTGGTGTTTTCCATTGTGGCCAAACCCCTGCTTACCACCTTTTGTTGGACCACTACTGATCGCTTGAGTTGACCTAGGAGTCGGTTTGGTCTAAACAATTTTTATTCATAGAAGTTTTTTATCTCAACCCTATGTTACATACAACCATATTGATAAACTGAAATAAAAGACCGCTAAAACCCTCCAAAAATCTATAAATAAATTGAATAATAACTGCATCAGCCATCCAACAAGCTATACATAAGATTAAAATATAGTTCATTCATTTGTAGTTTTTTTTTTTAATGATTTTGAGCTCCAGAGAAGTTCCCTTACCTTTGTTGATTATGATGTGTTTCCATTTAATATCAACAAACACACCAAGTATCGCTTTCACTGGCGATGGATGGATGCTCATTGAGGATAATCATGCCACATTGGTGTCTTTCATGCTTGCTAGCCGTTATTTCTTTAACAACGATTTTTGAACTTTTAGCATGTGAAATAAGATGGATAAATTCTCTACGATGCATATAAATAAACTAACAAATGTTTTATTTATGAATAAAATTAATCATGAAATTATGCTTGTAGGGATAATATTTTTTCTTTTCCTAGCGCCAATTCGATGGTATGTAATTTCCCTATTAGTGTTGGCTATAATTATTATTGTGGTGTCTCTGTCACACTTTGGGTCTGAAAAGTGGCATACTATTAATGAATTTGACATTCAAATTCAATAAATAACTTATACTACAACAACAACAATATCAAGCCTTTATCCCAGTACGTGGGGTCGGCTACATGAATCCTTTTTCTCCATTGTGTCCTATTAAAGGTCAAATTCTCGTTTAAATCTAATAAAGAAAGGACATTCCTAATATTTTCTAACAAAGCCTTTTTAGGTCCGCCTCTACCTTTCTTAACATAAGTCAAATCTAATACTTCTACTCTCCTAACCGGGTCATTGGAAGGCCGTCGTTTTATGTGACCAAACCATCTAAGGCGACTCTCTCTAATCTTATCTTCTATTGGAGCTCTCCAACCTTTTCACATATATGCTCATTTTGTATCCTATCTCTAAGGGTAAAGCCATTCATCCACCTAAGCATCCTCATCTCTGCCACACTTAACTTAGTATTATGCTTCTCTTTTAATGGCCAACATTCAACACCATAAGGCATTGCAGGCCTCACTACCATCTTATAGAATTTTCCCTTAAGTTTGAGGGGTACATCACTATCACATAACAAGCCCGATGCATTCCGCCACTTCAACCATCCAACTTGAATTATGTTGATAATATCCCCATTTATTTCTTTCTTTTCAAGAACTCTCCATAGCACTTCTCTTGGAACTTTATCATATGCTTTTTATAAATCAATAAATGTCATATGTAGATCCTCCTTATTTTTTTTATATTTCTCCATCAAACCTCTTAATAAACGTATGGCTTCCATAGTCGACCTACCCATCATGAATCCAAATTGATTTTAAGAAACATTAGTATCACGCCGCAAATTATGCTCCATAACTCGCTCCCATAGTTTTAAAGTATGACACATTAACTTAATTTCTCTATAATTAACACAATCTTGTGCATCACCTTTATTCTTAAAAATAGGAATTAACACACTCATTCTCTACTCATCGGGCATCTTTTTGGTCTTCAAAATAGTATTAAAAAGTTTAGTAAGCCATGAAATTCCTTCATCTCCTAAGCATTTCCACACCTCTATTGGAATATCATCAGGTCCAACAGCTTTTCCACCCTTCATTTTCTTTAAAACCTCTCTAACTTCGATTTTACTAATACGCCGATAAAAACATATATCTTTATTTTCATTAAATATAAGTTTTATGCATATCTATTAAATTGTTTCGATAATCAATTTTTTTTTGAACATTTATGTCAATTAAGACAAACTCGCACATACATCACATAAATAACTTCTACTGCTAAAGCATAAATGAAAAGGCATGGGGCATGCATATGAATAAAAAACAAGGTGCAATTTATAATAGAATAGCAACATAATGAATGTCATCATATCATTAGGTTTGAATAATATTGAATGGCTGAAAGGATAAGTTTTGCATGTTCTATGATAACTTATAGTATTTTATTATTTATGAACATTTGGATGAAAAAATGTAATAAAAATATTTCTATACTAACATATTCATGTGCAATCACATCAGACATATTCATATATATATCCAAAGATGATCTCTAAATCATCTATCATGTGCAATCACACCATGAATACTCATATATCTCTCTAGATGATTCGAAATCATCTATCATGGTTCCTTTGTATTTGTATATATCCTTATATTGGGTTTTACTATGCATCCTAAATTGGGAAGGTATGCATCAACTCATGAGGATTTGATAATTTCCAGAAGGGTCATCACTCTGTGGATTGGTAGGCTCGACTAGCGAAATCCAAAAGGGTTATAACAACCTACCTGCATTTCTATTTCAAACAAACACACATTTTGTATTTATAATAAGCAAGTGTTTAACATATATAATCAATATGATTAATGTTAGCTTCATAATAAAAATATGATTTAAATGAATAATATTTATTGTATTCAACTAATGCAATTTGTATGAAAATAAATTTTGCTTCCATATGGATTATTTTAGAGTTAAGGAATTTATGCAACAATTAATCAAGGCAATGTTATCCGCACACAATTTTTCATTATCAACATTAAATAAAGTTTATAAAATACGTGCAACACTAATTGAATATAAAAGGCATGACTTGTAACCTGCAAGATATCTAAGAAACCTATTACAAGCATATAAGATATTGTTCCTAGTAAAGAAGGTTATGTTTATCTTTTAGGAGTTGTTTGGTTTGAAGTAAAGTGGGTGTAAAGTAAATATTTTACATGGGTTTTAAAAATATTAGTGTTTGGTTGGATGAAAAAAATAGAGTGAAGTAAAAAAGAATGCAATGTAAAGCATTATAATTCATTTTTAAGGTAAAGTAAACTCGTACAGTTTTGAACAAAAACCGTTTTCACCTCAAGCAACATCTCTTGCCTCCTTCCGCCACCACACATAGTCAGCCACCGCTGCCACCCTCGATGCTAGCCATTGCTGCCATCCACTGTCGGCCACCACCACTGCCACCAGTAGTCAACTATCGCCACCACCAACCCCCCCACTGTCAACCACCGCCTCCAATTCCATCGCTAGCCAATAGCTACCACCCTCTGCCGACCACCACCACCACCATTGTCGATCATCCTTGCCACCCCAGCCATTAGCCGCTAACCACCACCGTTGCCACCAACCATAAGCAACCACCGCAATTGGCTTCCATCACTCTTCACCACCACCCACAACTGCTACCATCTATAGACTTTACAATATTTCATTTTACTTCAAACTAAAGAAGAAAAAGCATTCACCTGCATTTATTTCACACTTATCCAAATAACACCAAATTATTCCTTTTACACTGCGTTCCTGTTGTATTGCATTCTTTTTTTTCCCAATCAAACGGCCCCTTAATAAATGTTACTTGAGTTGCATGATTAAGCCATGTTCCTTCATAATCCAATAAAAATTACATTGGTGGAACATTGACTCAAAGGCCTTAATATGAATCCTATACTAATATTTAAAACTATAAAAAATAATTAAATGCATGATAACATATGACCTAATCTGTCATACACCATGATGACCACTCCCAATTGAACATAAGATGTAATAGAGGAGAGTACTGCTCAACTGATTAAATCTACCACCAACCATTATTATGGAACTTTTTTCTCTAGAATAGAGTTTTTGATAAACTCAATCATTTGAAAGATCTAAACTTATGCTTTTAAGTTTTAACTGTACACTAAACCTGTAAGATTGGGCTTAAGAATTCCAATATATTTCATTCATTCAACTACAGAGCTTCTAGTACATTATAGTTCATATGCATAACATCAAAATTTATTATATAATTTATCTAAGCATCTATGATGCACCGACACTCTCCCTAAGGAGCTATGAAGTGCTTATCACATGTCAAACTTGGACAGGCATCCAACACTTGTTAGACATGGTGAAGTTGTGTCTAATTAAAATAATATTTTAAAAAAATGGGACACATGTCCTAAATATTTTATTAAAAAACTATTTTTAAAAATGCTTTCTTATTTATTTATTTTTTAATTCTTCTTTTCAACAAAGCAACAAAACACTTGCTCATGTCCTCTAAACTTTCCATTTGTGACTTGCGGCTTTGCTTTGATGCTCGATGATGACTTGACGTCAACATCTGATAGCGTCTTGACAAATACATGATGAAGAAGCTAATCCTATTTTCCTTTTA